CCATCAACTCAATGCATGGTTTTTCTGCAGTCGAAGTTCTAGACTAATGCCCCAGTACTGGTTACAATCCCGAGGGGCCCTGCCGACAAAAAAGAGTAGCTGGATGTATTGAGTGGGGGCTATACGCAGCCTTACGACTCATAAACCACCATGGACAATTCTCTAGCTGATTCGTCAAAAATAAGTCTTCTTTCACAATATAATGGCCGAATATTATTGAATCAGCATAAGGAGCTCGGTTGGCGTATGGTCGCAGAGCTAGTTGCTGCATGGAATGGTTGACTGGTTTATGTGGTGTGTATTCGTCGAAAAATTGCCTGCATATAGGATTTCTCCCAACGATTTGCAGGCCCGTCATTGCATTATGTCCGCTGCGGCACGACAGGGGCCCGCTGACTCATCCTAAGTCTCGGGTGTGGCGTCCCGTTTAATGACCTTCCGAGCGTCGGTCCGTGTTTTCACATGATAGATAGCTTTCCGCACTCCCCACCCAAATACCGGTTGTCTTTTTTCTTTTTTGGAGATGAATCAATCCAATGACATCACCGGGTTCCTAAGGCATGCAATTGACTTTCATGTGTTGACGCCTTTATTTCTTTATCCCGTACTCTTTTAGGACTGAACAATATATTATAATATAAATCGTAACGTTTTATTTGCCGCCGAATGCTTTTCAAAGACAAGTTTATCTGAAAGCCTTTTTTTTTTTTTTTTTTTTTTTTTTCAACAGAGTTTGTTTGACATTTGCAATAAAGCGTTCGTTATAAAAACAATAGGCATATCCCCAAAAACAAATCATATTGCTGTGATTACCCTATCAGGCTACGCATGTTTGTAGAGGACATGAGCTTTTGACGGGCTGTTCCGCGATTCAATCTCTCTCGGCGACCGTGTTATATTAGTCGAACTGCAACATTCGTGTTGGCGCTAGGCAATGCTGAAAATGTTGTCACCTTCTGTATTTGATCTAGTCGATTTCCCCGAAGGGTTATTAGTCCACATAGCTGCATAGACGCCCAGGTCGACCCACCTTCAATGTTGATGGCAGTGCCTTTGATCCCTACCCTGATTACTTCCGGCTGGTTGCATCGATTTTTTATTTCGCAACAGCCACATCCTTCAAGGGCTCATTTCCAAAAAGGACAGCCGACGTGGGAAAAGAGAAAAAGGAAAAGAGACACTTTGTGTGACATTGGCAAAATGAGGACCTATTAGTTCGATCCTTTTGCTAAGCTTATTCTCTTTGAATGCGCAGTTGAGTCAAGCTTCATTCACAGATTGGCCTCTGTAACCGCATGTCATTGAACGTGAGTGCACGCCGGAATCAATCCTTGACATCCTGCCTTGGGGGCTGTACTTTGGTAGCATGGTCGCGGATATGATTTTCGGAAGAATTGATTGTCGACTTGTCATGCCACTAAATGTATGAAGGATATGGGCCTGGGTGCGATTTTATGCATAAGTTCGTCAACTCTGTTCTTGAAATCTGAGGTAGAGCTTTGACTCTAGATCCTACTCAGTATCTTATTAATTTAGACATATCGTAGGCCGAGGTCATGCTGTGCCGCTGGCCAACTGCACTTTTGCAACATCCCTGTGACATTGTCACAATCATCGAGTGCCGGAGTCGTGGGGGCAGTGCAAAAGTCCCTTGCAGTTATTCCAGTTTCAATCACAATCTGGTGCCGTGCCTTCGATGGCAGAATCTCTACCATACCCAGCAAAAACGGAAAGGCTGGGTTGAACAGCCTATATACTACTCAGCGTCATTTCAGACGATGCATGATTTCCTTTTTTCTTTAAGTGACATCAAATATTATTTTTATGAGCCCCCTCTTCCTTTCGCTTTCAACTCTACTATTAACATGTCGAGTCCCATGGAATTGTTCCTTATTCAAGACGAAGCCAAGTCATCATGGCGCTTTGCCATGACGGCAGACGTCGTCAAGTTTTTCTTCCGGGAGCACAAAAAGTTACGATGCCAGGCTCGCGCAACGACTACGTACAACAAACTCTGTGGTCATACTCTAGTCAAAAATCGAAAGTTGATCGAAAAACACCTGCAATCTATACATACTATGGCGATACCATCTGGTGACTTCAACCGGGTTGTCTTGACTCTTTCGGATATCGCTCTTTGCAATAGAGTAGGACATAAGGGCCTGGTCAAAGTACAAGAGGTACGCAACGACTGGTGCAAGAAACTACGGTCCAGCTGCACGCTAGGTAGCCAAGAGAATAATGGCACAGCCATTGAGTGCCACGCTGAGTGGGATCAGCATGGTACCTCGAAATGTTGGATGAACGGAACCTCAGACCAATCTCCCAAGCTTCATCAGCCAATCACACTCGGACCTCTTCAGCCGGCTGGAATAGATCGTAACAATCAAGAATCACAACACGATGTCGGCGAATATTCGGAACAACAGCCAGTCTACAGCGATGGGGAGGAGGACAAGAAAAGTTTGGGATCATTTGGCGGACCTCACGCTAGGTTGGATAATTCAAACATTCCAAAAATGCCTGAATTTCCTCCTCATGGTCAGCCTCGCTACGCTAATAGCAAAGGGGAGCACACGAGCCAAGTTCTGCCGTCTGTCATTCATCCCACACAAGACTTCACCACACCCAAGAAACACAGACAGCGCCCAGAACTGTACAGAAGCGATTATTACACTCTGCCGATCTCAGAAACTTTCCACCTTGGCGAAAATCCGTGGGCTCAGTCCTCATTGGACAGTCCAGATGCCGGCAGCTCTCCCGGTTCTTCAGATGTTACGTCCTCGCCGCTCTCCGCATATCCTTTCCCAAGCACTATATTCGACGAGCCAACCGCATATTCCACCATACAAGATACACCCCCAACAGAACTAAACGAAACCTCGCGCATGTGGGACGCGCCTCCTTCTCGCCACTTTAATGATGGACAATCTCCATCACTTCAACGTTGGCAAACTGGAGTCACTCCATTAATATACCGAGAAGATGCGGCAAATAAGACATCCCCTCCTACAGGATTTGGAATAGACGAAGATAGCAACTTCGAAATTTGCGATGGTAACAGAGTCTGGTCCAACAACTACAAGGATGTGTCGAAACTTCTCTTTAAGAGAAGTGATCCACGGAAGAATGGTCACGATCCGTTTTTGGATGCAAATTTGTTAGGGGCCGTCAAGAGAGCACAGACCCTTCCAATCCACATCCTCAAGGATCGTACTCCCAAATGGATCCAGCGGCGCCCTGAGCGGCGATGCTCGATACACGAACTTCCGGCTCGTCAAGTACTCAGATCAGCTCTCACATCTGATGAGCCGGCTGTCCGTGTGTTCCGGCAGCGGCACAGGCGGGACTCACTTCCTCTTAACATCTCCAGCGAGGATGTCCTCCTTCGATTCCACAATGCAGATGACGGTGCTTTCGCAGAAAAAGCTGAGCTTCAAACGTATAACAACGAGGTTGATTCGGAGGATGACTATGACGAAGAAGAGATTGAAATAACAGATGACCACAAAATTGTCGGGACAACCACAACCACCCACACTAGTTGCATCCAGACTGGATCCTCGCCAACGAAACTCAAACCATCTTATCCTGTTTTTGAGCGCTTTCAGTTGTCAAAGAACCCCTTGCGCGAATTGTGCATAGAGATGCGTGATGCCATCAATAATGAGAAGGTCTCTAGACCGGGCTATATTTATTGCTACGAGCATAGAAATCAACCTGGCCATATCAAGATTGGTCATGTCCGAATCCCAGAAGACCGATATGAACGAGATTTAGCCACATGCACCAACTTACTACACCAGTCAGCATTGGAGAGCAAAGCCACACAAAGCCCGACGCCACCACACAGTGTGATTACGCGCTTGAAAAAATGGAATCATTGTGGATACGATATTCATTTATTATACTGGTCCTCTGTGGTCTATGGTGCATGGAAAATTGAGAAGTTGGTGCATGGGCAACTTGCAGAGTATCGCGAGAAAGTGGTCAAGTGTGAGGGGTGTAACAGAAAGCACGTCGAGTGGTTCCAGGTAGACCTGCAGACAGCCAAAAATGCGGTGGACATGTGGTGCCAGTTCGCCGGACTACGGCCATACGATTGTGGAATGCTTAAAATGCCTTGGCAGAAAATATCATTCCCAGGATGCGGTTTCAAGTCGACCATAACGGTGGAAACACTTTCTGGATTTCTTGACTGCATGGGTCTGTATTTAGAATCGGAGAAGACTACTATGAATAATGAGGCAAACAGCGGATGACTTGGTACTCTCGTTTTTCGGCTTATCAAATGGCCAAATGAGTTGTTGTCCAAACGGATCACGTGGCAGACAGCATGCCAAGAGCAACTCGTTGCAGATCACGTCTCATATCCCTATTCACCAGACGTCTAATGCAAAAGAAGATTCCCATCAATTCCTGATAATAATGTCAATTAATGATTTTAATAGCTGAGCTCAGAACTGCTAGACATGGCTTGAGTGAAGTGGTGACCTGAATAAAAAGGTCAATATCTTTTGCTCGGCTGCTGACAACGAGCGTAGTGGTTTCTGCTCCGCGAAAAACTTTGTGTTCAAAGATAGTAGAAGTTGGGGAAAAAAAAACAAAAAAAAACTCCATACTCCTGGGGTGCTGAGCAATATATACTCTAAAAGGATGAGTTCACTTTAGACAATTAAGAATCAACTAAGCGTGAAGAATAAACATATGGCCAATTTTATTGGCTCCCCTTAATTCAACAATTTGAACTTCCTAGTGTAGGAAGATCTTTGCGCAGTTATTGTATGTGAAGACTAATTCTGGCGCTTAATTTAGCACAGGGCCTGCCATATTCTGATCCCAAAACCGCCAGTCTTGGACATCTCCATGCCGAGAACCATCATTTATGTGCAATATGCTTTGCATTTGTCTTTGGAAGGGTTTGGTTGCTACGAAACCCAGGTACAAAAGCCGTTGTATAATTCGCACATTTCCTTTCACGAGTGGTATGCAATGAAATGTCGATGAATAGTAATATATTCAAGTACCTATGTACTCCATCTGCGCAAATGGGAAAAGGCTTTTTTCTATGAAAGACCGCAGAAAATCATCTTTGGCCGTGAAATCTATGCAACTGGATAAATCCGATCCAAGTAGTCTATATGCAAACAAAAAGGAAATGTAGAAAGCAAATGAGTTGAATTTTAGTAGAGTCAAGGCACCATGTCGTCACATGTTGCCGTAATTATGATTCAGTTCTTGACTCCATCTCCCCAGTGACTTTGTCGAGTGTTCAACCAATGTCAAGTGACGTCCTGAAAAGGTGGCGGGAAATTTAGCAGCTAATGTCGTAGACAACAAAAGACTGGCCGCTGGTGGGGGCAGGAATGTTGGAGGCAGCAACGCTAAATAGTCTGCACTCGTTGTCGCCGGTGCTGGAAGCCTTGCCAAACTCGACAGACTTGCATCCCGAGGTGGACTTGCCGAGGGTGAGGCAGGCGCCGGCGGAGGTGATGGCAGTGTTGGTCTTGAGGGGCGAAACGGAGTTGCTGGTGGAACCGGTGGGGGTGGTGTTGCACATGTTGCTGGAGCTGGAGCTGGAGGTGTCCTGGTTGTTGGTGTTGGTGGTGGAGGTGGTGCTAGCGGTATTGGTGGTCTTGGTCTGAGTGGAAGAGGTGCTGTCGTCGACAAGACCGACGGGATTCTCCTCGGTAGGCTCAGTGTTGGGGACGTCGGAGCAGCCAATGTCAAAGACCTCAATGTTGGTCTCCTGAGAAGGCACCTGGGAAGCGGGGACCGAAAAGAGCTTGCAAACAGGAGCATCGGCGCTAGGAGGAAGACCAAAGGCAAAACTCTGGCACGAGCTCACGGCAGCACCCGCCTCCTTGCATTCCTCGGCAGTGTCAACACTGGGGGAAGACAGAGGAGTGGCTGAGCCAGAGTAGGACGGAGTAGCACCGCAGGTTTGGGAGCGGCGGAGAAGGCCAACAGGGTTGGATGTAGTGGGAGCCTTGGTCGGGACATTGGTGCAGGCAAGATCAAAGACGACAATGTTGGTCTGCTGAGCAGGAACCTGAGCGGCAGGGACGGAGAAGAGCTTGCAGATGGGGGTGTTGGCATTGGGGGGAAGGCCAAAGGCAAAACTCTGGCAGGAGCTGATTTTTTCACCAGCTTCCTTGCAGTCCTCGGCCGTGGATACGGAAGGGCTGGAGAGAGGCTGGGCAGAGCCAGTACCGGCGGGGGTGGTGCCGCAGACCTGGTCGCGAGCAAAGAGGACTGGCTTGGCAGCAGCCTCGGATGCCATCAAAGAGGCGACAAGAGCAATGGTTGCGAGGGTGAACTGCATTTTGAGTATTGAGAAAATGGACTGAAGAGTCTTGAAAGAGAGAAGACGAATGATAAAGTGACAAAGGAAGAAAGTATTGAGTGATTGTGAGTAGTAGTGAGTGAGTGAGTGAGTAGGTGAGTAAATGATTGTGTGTGTGATGAGAAAAGAAAAAAGGTAGAATAGACAGAAATGACAAGCCTTCTTATACCTTTGTCCTGCGTTGGTCGTTGTCTATATCATTGGGATGTATGATCCTTGAATGCTTATGGAGTCAAGTCATGATTGTCGCTTTTATTCCACCACGTCAGCTATCAACGCGTACTCTGGAGTCTTGCCGTCAAAGCTCTCACGGTATATCGAATGATAAAGTTCTGGCCGAGACCAGATTTGTTGACAAAACCACGTTGATTTGCGAAGTTCTGTACCAAGTGGTACCATGAATATGGGTCTTTTCTTTCCTAGGTTTGCAGTTCATGAGACTAGCAAGACACACAGCCCAGATCCAGAAATTTAGCTTCTTTGCATTGATATGTTGAGCAATATCACTGCTCAAGTGCGGCGTTGGATTTTAGCGGCGAATTTCTTTTGGGTGCATGGTAGATACATAGATATGCAACTACTCCATTATATCTTGGCTGAATATAGATGCTCCATGGTAACAAGTGATCATAAAGTAGAGAATAGAAGCACCTTTTCTGTGTTAGGACTGAGGCTGGATTTCGTTATGATGCCAGAGTCATGCCTGCATAGTCCGATCAGTGCAGTCTATGGCAATTCCGGAGCTCAGTACCGCGGGACATGGTAGCCAAAATTGTTAACTCTATCATTGAATGCCATAGTTTCATGGAGTAAGATTGTCGATCATCAAGAACATGTTGGGAAGCCCGGCGACAACCGAACCACTGCTTTGGGTCGGAATATTGCTCAGCTGCTCAGGGGTGCCTTGACGAATGAAGTATACGGATATTCCGGAACAAATCCGCGCAGCAAAGACTGTCCAGTCACAAGTCTGTGATTCCTACATCTACCGAGACTCTTGCGAGCAGAGCGGTACTAGCGCCGGCAGTCCCCGTCCTCTAGGTTGGCGGTCTACCCAGCCACTGTTAATGAAACCACGGCCAAAACTTTGATGATTTAGTCTGCCCCTATGGTCAAGTTCCACCCCACATTCCGGTACCCGTTATGAATTTGCACATCTTGGCTTGGGTATACACCTCATGAATCATAAATCTGGGCAGTAACTATATTCCTGCGATCTGACAGCATATAGCTTTCTTTTATACCTGATTGTGCCTTTTTAAAGACTCCATGCCGTCTTTTGGTTATCGCAATTAAAAAATAATAGGGGTGGAGGGAAGGCATGAACCCACAGCTCCCATTAGCATTTATTTATAGCCATCAGTGCAATATTCCCAATCACTGTGTATCTCGCATGGCATCTCTCAACATAGTCCCATGCTGGATCGAAGAATTACACGTCGGTTAAACATGCTTCTAGAAATTCCGGCCTTGGCAAGTCGCTACTAGGGTTGGTTGCGGGTATTTGTCGGTAGTGGGTGATTTCCACCCTGATATGGTCTAGAACTAAGCTAGACTCAAGGCCCTTGCACTAACCCTATGGTCCGACTGAGGCTTGGCAAACGCTGACGTATATGTCAAGTTCAGCCAGTACAGTCACTTGTGTTCTACTAACTAATTATGAAGTTTGAGAGTATCGCATGTTTTACCAGGCTAATATGAGGACAATATTTTCCGCCGATACTTGGATTGTTTAAAAATTCAGATTCCCGCCGGCTCGATTCTAGCCTCCTGGGCCTAGTGCACCAGACGGCAAATACGGCAAAGCCAGCTAGTTGTTGTAAGCCAGGCTGCGAACTCTGTATATTGACACTGTTTATTATTGCAGTTGAGTGCGTGCCTTGCCTGGAGTATGATTACCTCAATACAACGTACGCAAGTTATTTCCCTGGTGAGCGATTTTGATTTCTCAGTCTTTTAGGTTATTGCTTAGAAGCGAGATGATCTCGTGAATATCTCAACAAAATACTGTGCTGGGAACTGGAGATTGTAGTTTCAAATATTTCACTGTGTATTTTGGTGCATTACACTTGAATTTATTAATCTGCGATTTATCCCACGTGATACTCTCAAGCATGCCATAATAAAAATTGTCAACGCTGCATTTCAAATGGCTGCGCTACTTTACGCTGATTCCCTCGAATGAGATTGAGGTAGCGGGGATTCTCGAACGCGGCCAATTAATGTCTTAATTATTCAAATGAGCAACTGTATTATCTTGGACTCCAAGGGAGATGTGATTAGACGCGAATCTCTAATTTACAGCCTCCTGTTCAGTGAGCTACTATCAATCAATGAACAAGGCGTGCTACCGATCTGCCCAGCGAATGATTCAATAATAGCGCTATCTAAGCTCTCAGACGAGTTTCCACAATTTATGAGTTTTCCTGTGCCAGAAAATATGCTTTCATATGCTGTTCTCCTTCCTGCTGTCTCATAACGAATACAAACTTGGCATAATAATGCTCAACCATTTTTCCCCTTCGCATCCCACGTTCCTCCTTCCTTTTCCTTTGATTTAGCAATAAATATCACGGGCGACTAGTCCGTAGGAGACGAGATAATCCACCACAAGAGTCCTCTCTACGATTGTCCACAGTGTCAAAAGCAATGTGTGCCTCATGCTCATTATTACTACCTGGGTAGACGTGGCTCGAATTCATCATGCTGAGTATGAACTGCACCATAATATGGACCCACGACCCAATGCGTCTATTGAATGCCGTAATATTGCACACGTCATCTCGCCTGAACATAGCTACCAACAACCATATCTCGGATACTCTTCATATGGTGCGCCGGGGTGCCACCGAGGCAGTAGCCGACAGCCGGGGGTTACTTTCAAGTCAATATTTCCAGGCCTACCGAAGGTTTCTCGGATTATTCTACACGACCCACAGACAACTTCTGTACAATAGTGCAATGTATGACGCGTCGGTTGAATGAAATTGTTATTTTATTTGAATACACCGAGACTACATGCATCTAGTACTTGTCCAAGCTTCTTTACCGTACAAAGATGGCTTTTGACGACCGAGACTGTCCCAAAGACATGGTCAAAGTTGATGTACTTGGACGCTTGAAATGCAACTTGGGTGGAAGCAGTTATCGGGGAATCCATTAACCAAAAGAAAGTTTTTTACAAAAATAATTGTGATGCATTTTTATCATCGTAATGTGCATTGCACCCTGCAGAATGACAGCATGAGCTCAGACTATTTGGCACCATTTGGTGATTCTCGACAATTTGCAGCGACCGGATTCAGTTGGACAAATACGTAAACAGATTATTTCTCTTCCTTTGAAGCTTGTCAGTGAAACAGGCACCATCTTAATGCTTATATAATTTCATCATTGCCTCCGAAAACCATGTCACTTGAATGAAGAATTTTTCAAATGGCCTGAAAGAGACACGGAAAATATGATTAAAGAGTAGAGAATTTGTTTTGTAAGACCATGGAACTGGTTTAACGAACCTGTAATCATTTATCATATTAAATAACCCTCTTGGCACCACCATGGAACACCATAGAGCACAATTTCATCCGGCGATTTGATCCTGTGAAGGACAATCTCAACTGGATCAAATCCTGCGCTGGTAAAATGATTCCGCTTCATCTCGCTGGCTTCTTCACTTGGCGTCACATTACTAAAAGTAACCCAGGAGAAAATTGTAAACTTGTCGGTACCCCCAAATAGTCTTTCTGGCCATTCTCCACCATCTAGTAGAGTCAATCCTTGGGCATCATGGGCAATAACCCCGTCCATGAGAGTGTAGAAATGGTTGGGAAAGATGGCAAGCCCGTCCTGGACTGGTTGTACAGCTTGATCATAGGCCAGTCCCATACGTACGCCAGCTGGGCACTCGATGCATCCGACTAGCAGTGAATCACTGCTGTCGTTGGTATACACGTGCTGGGCACTTTCGAACATGGTAAAGGGCGGTTGTGCTAGTAGCATATGCCGCCAGCTTGCATCTCGACAGAGAAACGCAGGCCTCGAGCCCGTTTGGGCCCATGGCGCATTTTCCACGGTATGGAAAGATATACCTTTTGGTCTCGAAAACCATGTGGGCATGTGCTCAAGGAGGAGCGGGTTGTATTCGCGGACGATTTTGCCATTGGATGAACTCTTTGGAACTGTTTCCGATTGCCTTGGTCGCATAAAAAGAAGTTCTTGTAAGACTGGCGAGCTTTTAATCAGGTATTTCCAGCTGGTGGAAACTCTCTGAGCTAAGAGGAGGTCTTTCATGGGCAAACGTGCCAAGATGCTTTCGGCGATCTCGGAGATGGCCCACACGCTAGCTACAGCCGTAACTTTCTGCGGCGTCTGCTCAGATTGAGCCATTGTCGGAGCAGTGGCGTTATGGGGTATATAGTAATGAATTGAACGTGAGGCGGATACTCGAGACTGGAGTTAAAATCGTGCCGAGTGCCAGTCCATATCGGTATTCAATATATATGCTGGACAAGCTGATGTCTGGTTTTGCTAGACGAGTTGGCTAGTGCTGGTTGGGAGCCAGTCATCTGACCCAACCTAGAATAGTGCTCATCTCGATCACAAAAGTCCACAAGCTGTTGGTGACTAAGCAGATTGCCACCAGGCCAAACCTGCAAAAGTTGGAGCTCCATACCGAGCTTCCCAATTAAGGCAAATACAGGGATATATACACGTACCGGGTGAATGTGCAGCGAATACCTTGTAGAAAATAACCAAAATAGGACCACTTAAGCAATTTTGAGCATCAAAATTCTTTCCGCCTTCGATTTTTGATGCACTCATTATGAAATGTTTAATGAATGATTGACCAATATTTATCGTCTACTGGAGACGCTTGTGCAGTCACGTACAAGGAGATGATTCGAGCAAATGGCTCACTTTAATTAGAATTAAGAATTAAAGTAGACTACCTAGACAGGGTCCATACCAGGTAGACGAATGCATGTGTCGGGCCTATTTGTCCCTGGTTCATACAAGTTGCAACCATGATGTCGCAAGCTGTCTTATGGGTGGCCGCATTTCCCACAGCAGGTTTCCCACCAGCACTTAGCCAGAGTAGTTCTGGAGAAGGTAGCCACCCTCGCCGTTGGCAACACCAAGCTTGGTGCCGGTGAGAGTGCTGCGAGTATAGCCAATCAGGTGAAAGTTGGACTGCTTGGTGTAGGCAGCAACGGGCTTGAGCATGTAGCAGTAGCCGTTGCCGTTGAAGTAGGACAAGGCGCAGGCGGTGCCGAGAGCTGCGCACGAGTTGCAGCACGCATATTGCGAGCTGGTGTCACCAACAGCAAGGGTGTAGCTAGCGGTAGAGGTGAATTGCCAGAGCTCTACAGTGCGGCCGGCATTGTTGGTAAAGGGCGACATGACAAAGTTGGCCGAATCGGTGCAGATGGAGAAGGCGCTGGTCGTGCTGGTGGCTACGTTGGTGTTGGTGGTAGTGGTCGTAGCGGTCGTCGTTACCATGGCGGTCTCTGTAATGGTGGCGGTCTCAAAGAATGACAAGGTGGTCGACACGTCGTCGGGAACCACAGTAGAGGTTGACGTGATGGTGGATGTAATGGTAGTGGAGGTGGTATCAGCCGTGGCAGTAATGGTCATGGCCGCACCGGTGGAAATGACAGTCGAGGTGGTGAGAACCTCGACGGTAGTAGAGCAGTAGACTGCGGCGGCGTAGAAACCGTTGTCCTCGGGTGTATCGTCGCTACCGCAGGAGATAGTCTTCTCGGCACCAAAGGTTGCGACTGTAGTGCTCGAGTTGCTGATGGAGTATGTGGCAGTTGGCTGAGTAGTATTGTAGATGAGACTCATGCCGGCAGAAGCACTGGGGAGGGTGCTGGAGGATTGAGCCTCTGGGTCATGCTTGCACTTGGATCTCTTGACCTTGGAACCAGTCGAGGGATAGCCATCAGCAGTCTAGTGAGAAAAGTGTGTCAGTGTATCATGTAGAGTTTGTGACAAATCAATGCCGAGTCCATGCTAAACGATCTTGAGGGTTGTATGGCGGTGACATCCATAGCCCGTAGGATATCGACTTGTAAAAATCATTTTACAATTTCTGACTACTCACATCATGTATGTCATACTACAATAACATGTGTTAGCAATTGGCCTTCAGCGGGATGATTGAATTTAATGTAGATCTTTTGATCACTATATCCAAGTCTGATCTCTTGGAACACAGCATCCGAAAATGCCTGCTCACGAGACAACACAGAAAAAATGAGAGCATCGGGGTTCACTTACCCATGTGCCGCTTGGCTTACTAGAAATAGTAACCGTGGTTGTAGTGGAAACATCAGTGGTCGTTGTTTCGGTGGCGGTAACAGTCGACGTGGTAGTGGTGGTCACAAAGTCAGTCGAGGTTGTAGAAAAAGTGTCCGTGATTGTCGTCTCGGTGACGGTCTCAGTCTCAGTTGTGTAGTCGGTACTGGTGACAGTCACTGCATCAGGGGTCTCGGTTGTGATGGGAATGGTTGTTGTTTCAAAGACCACCTGGTTGGTGGACGTGATAGTCGTGGTCGTAGAAGGGACAGTGGCGATCGAGGTAGAGCCCATTTCAGTGACACAGCTAACGCCTACTACAGACGATGACTCTTGACGCTTGTTGGGCAAAGCGCCGGCCATGGCGGCCGAGAGTAGGCATGAAAGCGTAACAGCAGTCGACAACATTTTGAAATGAATGTAACCTGCAAAAGCAGCAGTGAACTAAAAGAGTGTAATGAGTGAGATGCGAGCCCATCAAATTTTGCAAAAGGATTCCACGAGCCGACATGGCAATGTTGATATATATATTCGACTTGGTTTGGGGCTCTCAATCCCACTGCGCTAACTGGCCAATCAGAACTCGTTCCCAAAATCGTTCTTCATTTCGGATATTGCAAAACTCAGTAGGTTAGTTCTTCAGCCAGCCACAAGACTAGCGTACCCGCAAGCTGGAGCGTTTACAGCCCAAGACTGGGGGCTAAATCAGCTAGGTTAACCAGCATAGGTGTAGTTTGGCCCGTGCTTGGACATGCTTAGCGCCAAGTGGCTTTCTGGAATAAGCCTGGACGCGCATAACAGGCAATTGATGAATGCCATTCGGATCCGCTGAGCTGAGATGGGCATTTCAATAGATCTTGGATCCTCTATAGGGGCCCATGTGTGGGAGAAGAAAAGATTTCATAGATCACGCTAGCCCTAAATACATCGTTCCCCAACTCCCCGCGACCTGGGTGCTCGAACAAGGCACAATATTGATTCGATGACTTTTATGAAAAGAAGTGCACCCGCTTCAAACCTCTCTTTCTGCACATTGAATAATATTTTGCTTGCTTCAAGGAGAAATGACGGAATACTATTGGAGAGTGTCAGGAACGTGAGCAAGCAGCATCGGTATTGCTCCATCACTTATTATGATTGCAATTGTGAGAACGGCCCGTGTTATCTCTTAGTTTTATTTTACATCCGTCTCCTCAATCAATACAGATGTTCATACCGTCCTGCGCCGGTTCGAGGTATATTTGAATCAGGGCTGGTGTGCTCGAGTTTGTGAATTCATGGCACCACTTACCATATGGAATCTGAGCTGGGTGTAATTGATGATCTGTGTAATTTCAAGTGCCAAGAATTCTCGGAGATGTATTGGTCCCGGTCACGCCGTACACAAACTGCTTTATTAGCCCAAGCACTCGAGTCACAATTCTTTGGACAATAGGGAGTTAGCTTGCCAAGACTTCTTTTTACTTGGCTAGCGACGGCTCCATGTATCCGAAAGCCAGTCACAACGTCAACACACAAATCATGGATGATGAAACCAACATTGAGACATCTCTAGACAGGAAGGAATGTGGTTGCTGACAAACCCACGCCATATGAGTGTATACCGAACATCAAGTTTAGAAATTGTACGTTGAGCACTAAATTACCCATGTCTCTCCAAACGAATATGGTCGACTTTATTTCACCAGTCACTCCTCTGCTATTGCAGCTCCCAATCCAGGCAATTATCCTGCCTTTACTATGCGTCCCGAGCGCAGTTGTCTCATTCTTTAGTTGAATGCAGAATTACTGGCTTAGCGAACCTATTTCTTGTCCCTTGATCGAAATGGATGTCGCAAAAGTGGTTCCCCTGTCGCCAATTCTACAATTCCGATACAAACATGGTGCTGGGAGCATGATCAAGCAGCAGGCCCAATGGGACAGCAAATACCACCCCTAACTCAGGTTCCGTGGACTCAAGCGAATGTGCAAAGGCGGCTTGGACCATATATTGTAAGCCTTTTGGTTTGCCAACCAGTCACGACTCTCGTCACTTAGCACCATGTCAAAGTTGAAGAGCATTCGGGCCAGGGCCAAGCGCATCTCGATATAGGCCAACCTGTTGCAACCATGAGTACATCAGCGCTTGTCATTAACTTGGATGCAATAACTCACGATCTTCCAATACAATTACGCTTCCCAACATGGAATGGTTGGAGGATATCTCGCTCGTCGCCTGCAAACTTTGGATCACCCAGGAAACGTTCCGGACAGAAGCTCGTCGGGTTTATAAAGTAGGCAGGATTGCGATATAACGCCCAATGCCATATGGCAACATGAGTCTACATTTTCAGCTTGGAGGTTCATCGAACTGGGGAAAGGAAGAAACATACATTCTCAGGTACAAAAGACCCACCGATGATACGACCGCCCTTTGGCACGATCCTTGGCATGCCAATCGGAACTGGAGGGTACAATCGCATCGTTTCTTCCAAGCAAGCCAACATGTAATCCAGCTGACTGGCTTTGGCCATGGTTATATCGTCGTCGCTAACAAATGCACTTCTCACTTCCCTTGTGAGTCTTGCCAACTTTTCAGGATGTCTCAAAAGTAGATAGGTAACGCCAGAGAGCACGGTGGCGGTAGTTTCAGAGCCAGCCACGATAAGTACCGAGGCATTCATGACGAGCTTATCCATTTCCATCTCCTATAAAAGAGGTTCTCATGTGAGTTTCATCGGGACAGGCTCGAATAATGAAGCAACAAAATTTTTGGCTCACATTTTTCTTGTTGATGTCCAACATGGCCTCGACAAGATCAGTTCGCTTGACCGTCATGCGTTTTTCAAGCTTTTCCCTCGTGTATGCCTGATGGTTGAGTATTTTCTTGGAGATTATCGGTCTGAAAAGACGTAGCAGAGTTGACTTGAACCACGGATAGTGCCCTAGTGAGGACATGATGGCACTGATATATGTGACCTGGAAGATGGGTCGCACCCAGGGGTGATAATCGGCATTCTCCAGACAATGGTAAGATTCGCCCATTACCAAATTGCCAATAAGGTCAAATGTTGTAAAATTGAACCACGCCGACATGTCAATCTTGCCAGATACCTCAGGTGACTTGCACTGATCCCGCAATCTGCGAATAAGTAGGCCAATGGAGTTTTGAATCAGCGGTTCCATGTCCCTTAATACCCGGTCAGAAAAGCCCACGCCTACTGCTCGACGCATCTGGGCATGCTCCTCAGCAGGTGCAAACATGATGTTCGTAGCCTGGCGATCTTGAACTTTGTAGTACTCGTCCCATTTTGCAAAATCTTGCTTGCCGCCCATAATGTCGCGCCAGGCCGACGCATGCGCAAATGCGAGCTCGTTGGGAGCAATGCGTACCACGGGTCCATATTGTTCATGGATCGGAAGCATGTCAAAGGCTAGACGGCCCTGGATTGCCTTGACAACATAGGGAAGGCGAAAGGCGCGCCATAGCAGAGGGCCTGGAAAATTGCGGAGTGGATGGAAAAAGACATTGTAAAATGCTTCCACAATAATCCATACAATCACAGTCTAGTCGGACAATATCAGATCAGATGTTCAGTTTTATGCAGATGGTTCTGCGACACGTACCACGGCAAAGCAAACGACGAAAAGGTTGCTCATTCTTAGAGCTCCGTCCATTGTAATGATCTGCTCCATGGTTTTCCGGCGATGAAGAATGAAAAGCTGAAAGGCTCGAGATCAAGCCATGGCACTGTTCCGTCTAGTACGACTTCAGTCATGTCCCAAAGGATATATGACTCAGGATGTGGGCATAGATAAGAACCATAGATGCTCGCATGCATATATTGCTGATGTACATACATGCTATTATTAGCAGCCGTTATACTTTTTCTCCACATAACCATGAATCAATTGGTATAATCCAGGTTTTTTAGTCAATGGTTCTTTCTAACTGCATGGCGCTAAGGTTGTTTGCATTAGAGTCAGATCATGTAAGCATGCGCGCATCGTTTGAGCATTATGGTGTCAGTTGAGTGACACGTAAGCGCTCGGCTCATTCTCGTCTTTGCTAGAGATGCAAACGCAGATTTCTACCCGATTTCATGCATGTTTCGTACCGAGGAAACTAGTCCCTGTACACGAGCCGGTCTTGTAAGATGTGCTGTGCCGTATATGGTTGCATACGCGTTATACGTCTCTACACTAGCCTCAGCTCGGTGTGGAGCTCCCACTTTTGCGATATGGGGGTAACGATATGTACGCAACATATATGTATCATAATTTCATCCGTGTAGTGTCCCTCCGCCCAGATCATCTAAGTGTATTACATTTCTGTGAACAGAGAGCATCTGCTGACTAGACTCAATACTTGAAAATGTCAGAAAATCTCGAAAACACAACAGGTCTACAAAAGTCTGTTTCAACTGCGGTGCAACTGGCCGCAGACTATGCACACCATGCCATGAAACCCGACGGCCACTGGCTCACGGAGCTTCGAGCCACCGTTGGTTTCACGGCCGGGTACATTTGTCTACGAAAAATGCTGGGACCTCCTCTCTCCGAAAAGGAAGCAGGGAAGATGGCCCAATGGATACAGTCTCGGCAGAACACATCAGACGGATCATGGGGCCTACTGCCCGACAGGCCTGGGGATGTTTCAACGACGACCGAGGGTTATTTTGCCCTCAAGCTCCTTGGCGTGCCTACCGAGAGCTACGCAATGCAGAGGGCTCAATCCTTTATTCTATCCCAAGGCGGGATCAGCAAAATGGGTGTCTTCACTCAGCTGGAGTATTACGAATATGCACCCTTGCATAAAAACAAACAAATGCGTTAGCGCTTAAGGGAAAAAGGGAGGGGCTTAGCACCGAAAGCCGGGAATAGGTCAAAATAGGAACCATTATCCTCGATAATTGCTAGCCAGCTGCCTAATAGGATTATAATTTTGGTAATAATCTAAACGGTTAAATTATTAAAATTATTAAATTTTATCGATTCTAAAATTATAAAATCGGCTTAGCATTATAATTTAAAAAATATTAATAAAAGAATAAATAAATATATATTATAAAAAAATTTCCTATATAAATAATTATTATTTTAATAATTAATTTAAGCATTTATTTTATTTATAAGTAAAGCATTTAATACGCTTTAACGATTATATTTATAATATTAATTTAAAAATATATTTAGTTATTTTTTGTTTAATTTAATATTTTATTTAACGTTCCCTATTAATATAAACCTTAATACCCTTATATTTAGGTTTATTTTAAAAACCCGTAATATAATCGTTATATTTTAATTATTTTTATTTAAATACGTTTTACTAAAAATTAACTAAATAATAACCGGCAAAATATTTACCGTTAGCAAAAATAATAGCGGTTATAATAAAAAAAATAAAGGCACCGAAAAAACCACTTCCGGATAAGTATTTTAAAAAATATTTACCAAAGCTATAAATATCGATATTAAAGCAGAAAACGACTTTAAAATCTTTAAAAAATAATATAATAATATTTTTAAAAAAAATTCGTCGATTTTTAAAAAAAAAAAATCGCAAATCTAAGCTTATTAAAAAACTCCAGGCCTTTAATACCGTTATAAAGGGAGCAGCTAATATTATTATTATATTAATTTAAAAAATCGATAAGCTTAAATTTAATACCTTTATAACGTACGACGGAATTTTTAAAAAATTTAAAAAATACTTTATATAAATTTATGCCTATTATTTATTTTATATAAAAAGCTTTTAAAATAACCTTTAAAAAACTGTTTACGCGGCATTTTTTTTTTAAAAAAACGCGTTTTTGCGTAATTCGAATTTTATTTTTCCGAAGTAAATAAATACGGATAAATATTTAATTAATATAAAAACGAAATATAAAAAATTTTTAAATTATACGCAAGTTTTAAAAAAACGTTTAAATTATTATTTTAAAATTTTAACGAAAAAAAATAAGCCGAAAAAAAATTTAAAACCTTTAAATAAAAAAAATTAATATTAATATATACCGCTAAATTTAAAAGGATTATCGCCCGTATAAATTATATTAACGATACTAAAATTATATTATATTATTAAAGGTTTAAAAAAAAATAAAAAACGAAATTAACAGGATTTTATACTTTTTAAAAGATTTTATTAAATATACGGAATTTACGGTACGTATCAATAATTAGCTATACGCGCGGAAATCTAAAAAACGATATATACCTAAATATTAATAGCGTATTATAGCTAATATAAGAAAACCCTAGTATAACGGAAGCAATTAGCGAAATAATAATTAAAAAAGTAAAACCTTATACGGAACCTATAATAAATAAATAAATTTTAACGCTATTTAACGAAAAAATAAATTTAAAATTAAATATTATAATTATAATAAAATAAAATATTATATTAATAAATATCGCTAATTTAAAAAAACTAAATTTAAGCCCGTATTAAAAGGTAAAAAGCAATTTAATAATATTAAATAAGATAATATACTTTATAAATTATTTTTATAAACGGCGTGCTTCGATAACGCTTATCGAACGTATAAATTTAGTAAAAATAATAATAAATAATACTTTTAAAAATAAAAAACTTTAGCAATTATACGCCTAAAAAGAATTATTATTTTTAATTTAAAAAAATAAATATAAAATAATAATAGCGAAATTATACCTAATGCTTTAAAAAACGAAGCTTATTTTTAAATATAATAAGCCGAATACTAGGTCCTAAAAGTAAAATTAAAAAAATCGATCGATAATATTAGTAATAATAATAAAAATTATAGCAAAATCGACTTTTACGCACTTAATAATATTTGTAATATTAACGGATTACCGGAAAAATAACGACTAATGCGATAATTATAAATTTCGGATAACGAAATATTCGAGATTATAATTCGACGAAATTAATTAATTAAACCCGGTACCTCCTATATAATTATTATAGTAAAAATATACGGATTAGGATAATAACTTATAAAAATCCTTTAAAAAACTATTAATATAATATAAAAAAAAAAACCCTAAGCGCTATTTTTAAAAATAATCCTTGATTTAATATTAAGCATAAATAATACCATTAAATTGCGTAAATAGGATATATCGATTTAAAATACGACGAATACCTAAAATTAAAGGTTTAGCAAAAAATTTTCCTTTTTAAAATAAAAAAAACCGTTATAAATTACCTTTATTTAGCGGGATTTATAAAAAAAATAAAAATAAGCTATTGCGATACCCGAGGATACGTTATATTCGCTACGCACTTTAGCCTAAAATAATATTTAAATACGGAAAAATAGCTATAATTAAAATATATAATAAACGGATATAACCTTTATATAAAAAATAAAGCTAAAGCATAACGATAAATTAAAAAACTACGGGCCATAAATCAACTTAAAATAACCCTAATTCGATATACGACGGTAATCGATAACGCCATAAAAACGACGCAGAAAGCACTACCGCGATATTTTTAATTTTCGATAATCCAACTAATTATTTTAATTAAAAAAACCATTAACGATATTAGCCTATTAAAAATTAGACGATTTTATTTAAAATATAAAGAAACCAAAAAGCTAAAAAAGTCCTTTAAGGATAATAAATTATAAGGAAATATTTTTAATATATAGCAAAAAACAGGCGAATTATCCAAATAATATAAAAATTAACCCTTATAAGCTAAAAAAAACCTAAGTATATTAAAATAATAAATATATACGGCCGCCGAAAAACGATAAGCCAATAAACGACTAAATAAAAATCTAAAAAAAAACCTAAACCACTTTTAAAAAAATAAAAGCGGTCCTAAATCGAAAAATCTATATATGCCATAAATAGCATTAATATTAACGAATATTTTACGATTTAAATTAAAATTATAAACTAAAAAATATAAGCCTTAATAAATATAAAAGCTTAAAAAATTTTTATTTCGCTAATAATTATTAACGCTTTATAAATATTATAAAAGCAAAAAAAAACGCTTTATATATTTAATATTATTAATAAAAAACCTATATCGTATAAAAACGGAATTATAAATATAAAAACTGCGTATATTTAAATTTATATTTAAAATTATAAAAAAGGACTTAAATGCGATATTATAAAAATCACGGATTACGATATTATTTTAGAAATACTTTAATTATAAGCGAATAACCTAAAAGTAAATTAGAATATTAGCTAATTTTAATAAAATATACCAAAAAGAAAATTAGCCTTTAAGGAGCGCTTAAAAAACGGACTTTTAAGCAACCTTAAAATATTTAAATTCTATTTTATAATTAAGTATATTAAGCCGAAATTCGAAATTAAAATATTAAAAAAATACTAAAAATTTAGCGATTTATTTAATAAAATATTAAAAATAGAATTACTAAAGCATATAAAATACGACTATAAAATACCTCTCTAAAAAGGAAAGAAACTATATTTTATGCCAACGTACCTAATAAAACCTTAGCACGAAAAGGCACTAAAAAAATACCTAGCGGATATATTATAAAAGGGATAAATTACAAAATTTATTTTACCTGCAAAATACCTAATATTCTTTATACCTAAAAAAAGCAAAAACGGAAAACCTAAATAAAGATTTTATATCGATTACCGCAAGCTTAACGATATTACGATTAAAAACCGATACTTTTTATTTTTAATTAAAAACCTACGCGATAAATTGCACGGAGCTTAATAATTTATAGCCCTAGATTTGCCTAACGCGTATGGTTTAATATATATTAAAAAAGGAAAAAAATAAAAAACCGCTTTTTGTTGCAAATACGGATATTTTAAATATAAGGTTATATTTTTCGGATTAATTAACGTATTAGCAAATTTTTAAAATATAATTAATAACGTTTTAAAAAAATACTTTAATAAATTCGTAATAATATACTTCGACGATATATTTATTTATTTTAAGGATTTTAACGAATATTAATAATACGTTAAAATAATATTATAAAAATTATAAAGGGTAAACCTGCTAATTAACCCCGAAAAAAATAAATTTTATAAAAAAAAAATTATTTTTGTAAAATATATAATATCCCTTGGAAAAATTAAAATAAAATTATTTAAAATTTTAGCAATAAAAAATTGGCCTATTTTAACCTCGGTAATAGAAATTAAATTTTTTTTAGGATTTGTAAACTTTTACTAAATATTTGTTTAAAAACTCGGAAATATTGCCGTACCGCTTACGTATTTAATAAAAAAAGATATACTTTTCGATTAAATACCTAAAGCGTAAAAAGCCTTTAAAATAATTAAAAAACGAATTACGGATAAGCTTATAATACGTATAGTAGACCCGGAATAAGAATTTAAAATCGAAATAAATATTTTAAATTATGCTATAGGCGGATAATTTATATAAAAGGACGATAACGGGAAACCATACCCGATTGTATTTTATAATAAAAAATTTATAAAAAAAATAACTAAATTACTAGATTTATAATAAAAAACTTATAGCAATTATCGAAGCATTTTAAAAATGGAAATATTATTTTAGCGGAATTAAGTATTAAATTAAAATTTATACCGATTATAAAAACCTAGCCTTATTTATTATTAATAAAAAATTTAATAAATAATAAATTAAATAGGCAAAATTCTTAGTAAATTATAATTTTAAAATTATTTACCGTAAAAGATTAAAAAACGGCAAAGCTAACGTTTTTAGCCGAAAACTAAATTATTTTTAGGAAATACTAAAAAAAACTAATATTATTTTTTCGATAAACGATAACGGAAACCTAATATTTATTATAACTTTATATATAATTATAAAAATTAGTAACGATAATAGCTAAATTAAAAAAATAACTAACGATAACGGTATATTCGATATATACGCTAATAAAATTAAGATTAAAAACGTATTATTTGATTAAATAATTAAAGATTATTACGAATTACCTATTAAAGGATATTAAAAAATATTTAAAATAATTAAATAAATCTAATAATATTTCGATTACCTATAGTTACGCAAATATATTAATAATATTATTAAAAAATATAATTTATGTAATAAGGCAAAATTAATACGATATAAATAATATAAAAAATTATAATTTATATTACCGTTAAATAAGGTATAGAAATTTATAGCATTAAATTTTATCGTAAAATTACTATTTTTAAAAAAACCTTTAATTAAAACCTTTTATAATAATATTTTAATATTTACCGAATAATTTACGAAATACGCTTATTTTTTTCTATATAAAAAAGCTAATAATGTCGAAAAACTAGCTTATATATTCCTCCGAACGATAGTTAGCTAGCACGGATTATTAAATAAAATTATTTTAAATAAAAATAAACTTTTTATGTCGAAATTTTGGAAATTATTTATTAATTAGCTAAAATGCGATTATAAGCTTTTAATAGCTTTTTATCTGTAAATTAACGGATAAATAAAACGAGTAAATTAAATATTCGAGAAATATTTTAAATATTATATTAATTATAAATAAAATAATTAGGTTACGCTATTATTATTCGCATAATTTATATATAATAATATAATACGAAAACCTACCGGAATATTATTATTTTACGCTAATTACGGATATAAACCCGATATTATTAAAAAACCACTAAAAAGAAAGGAATTTGCATTATACGCTATTTTACGCGTTAAATAATTTAAAAACCTATAAGCAAAATTTTAAAAAACCTTTATTGCTATTTAACAAAAAATAAAAATATAATACGATAAAAAAAAAATTAAAAAACTAATTTTTAAAAAAAAAATAAAGTTTACTTTTTACGCAAATATATTAAAATAAAACGATTAAGCGATAAATTCGATTTTAAAAAACTCGGATTATTTAAGATCGATAAGAAAATTTCGAACGTTAATTACCGATTTAAGCTATTAAAAATTATAAAAAACTATAAAACCTTTTATATTTTATTATTCGAATTAGCACTAAAAAACGCTAAAATCGACGAAATACTAAAAACCGAACTAAATTAGCAAAATTACGATATTAAAAAAATTATTAATTATAAAAAAATCGGACGAAAATACTAATTCTACGTTAAATAAAAAAATTACCTACCTAAGGAAAATATTTAGGAACTTAAGAAGTATATTAAAAATTATATTGTTTTTAATTAATATTTTTAGTTTCGATAAAAAAACCGAAATTTATAAAATTATTTCCGAAACCGAATACCGATTAATCGGGTTTATTAGGAATATTTAATAATTAAAAATCGTTTATTATAAAATATTCGTAATTCTTAAAAGCAGGAAAAACTTTATTTTCTTTATTTAATTCCTTTATATTATAAGCAAATAATTCGGAATTATAAACCTTTATTTATGCTTTAATTTTCCGAATTCGAAATAACCGATTAGCAGCAGCCGCTAAAAAAGATTAAAGCTTAACTATTTTTTCGTAAAACTCTAAAAAACTATCGCTCGCTTTTTTTTTTCGATTTTTAATTTCCGCTATTAATCTAAAACCTTCCGAAGCATAAAAGCTATTAAAATATTATCGTATTTCCGAAAAAAATACGCAATATACTTTAAATAATAAATCGATTTTTTGTCCGCTATTCGGTAAAGACGTTTATTTTTAAAATAAAGCGTATACGGTATATTTATAATATAACCGTTTAATTTAATAAAATTAAAAAGCTTAATTTATTTATAAGTTTTTCGTTTTTTCGTTATTTCCGATAAAAATTTTAATATAATAAGCATATATTATAAATAAAGCAAAAAAAAAATGATAAAAAAGGGAAATAAAATAATTACGGTATATAGGCATTACGACCTATTTAAGCGGCTTAAAGTTTTTTAAAAATAAAAAATATAAAAAAGGGAGCTAATATTACGAATATGCACTTTTATATAAAAATAAATAAATGCGTTAGCGCTTAAGGGAAAAAAAAAAGGGCTTAGTACCAAAAGCCGGAAATAGATTAAAATAGGAATTATTATCCTCGATAATTGCTAGCCAGCTGCCTAATAAAATTATAATTTTAGCAATAATTTAAACGGTTAAATTATTAGGATTATTAAATTTTATCGATTTTAAGATTATAAAATCGGCTTAGTATTATAATTTAAGGAATATTAATAAAAAAATAAATAAATATATATTATAAAAAAATTTCTTATATAAATAGTTATTACCTTAGTAATTAATTTAAATATTTATTTTATTTATAGGTAAAGCATTTAATACGCTTTAACGATTATATTTATAATATTAATTTAAAAATATATTTAATTATTTTTTGCTTAATTTAGTATTTTATTTAACGTTCCTTATTAGCATAAACCCTAATACCCCTATATTTAGGTTTATTCTAAAAACCCGTAGTATAGTCGTTATATAGAGCTGGCCCTTATGGGTGTCCTTGATTGGAATGAAATGGCCCAGGTGCCCGCCGAGCTGATACTGCTACCCGCGTCTGCGCCCGTTAGCATCTATGCGTTTAGCTACTGGTCCCGCGTCACGGCCGTCCCCATTATGATTCTGAGGCATCACCGGCCCGTGTACCGCATTGTGCCCGAAGGATTCCTTGATGAGCTCTACGTGGACCCCGACGACAAACATCTGCGTTTCACACCTCCCTTGGGAACTCTGTGGCGGGACGGCGAAAAGGGGAGATTCTGCGGCAGCCTTGCTGACAGGGCATTGGGTATCCTGGATCCAATTCTGAGACGTGTGCCCATGACGAGACCATATGCGCTTTCCTGCTGCGTGCGATATATTCTGGACCACTTGGATGCCGGCGGCTACGGCGCTTTCTGGAATTCCAATTTTGCCGCCGTCATGGCACTTCATGCTGAAGGATTCTCGGCACAACATCCAGCCGTCCAGCATCTTTTGACGGCCATTGACACATGCCTGTGGGAAGACACCCTTGGTATCAGAATGCAGGTCACCATTGGTCCTGTTTGGGACACGGCCCTTATGGCCATGGGGCTGCTCGAGACAGGCCTTGCCGATAGTAGAATGGAGTTGACAGCGCAGTGGTTCAAATCACGCCAGATACTAGAGACACAAGGCGATTACCGTGTCCGCAACCAAATGCTAGCACCGGGAGGATGGCCCTTTCAATATTGCGTGAGTCGCCCATTGTCCATGATTAAATCTGGGTTCAAGTACTGACTCGACGTAGAACAGCCACTATCCAGACACTGACGACACCCTCGTGGCGTTAATGACCATCATCATGCACACTCCTTCAGACGTCACTTCGCAATCATGCATCCGGGCTATTGACTGGTTACTCGGTATGCAATGCTACGACGGCGGCTGGGCATGTTTCGACTTGAACAACGACCATCGGTACCTCAATCTGTTTCCTTTTGGCCAGGGCAATCAATTCTATGATCCTAGCGTACCCGATATCACGGGCCGGATTCTGGAATGCCTGGGCATGGTGCTGTCTATTCTGTCTTCCCCGGCCACAAAACGTGGTTCCACATTCGTGAATACATTTCACTACCAACGTATCCAGCAAGCATGCCGTAGAGGTATTTTGTTTTTGGACTCTGTACAAGAAACCGGGACAGGCATCTGGGGTAGCCGGTGGCACATCAACTATCTCGACGGGACGAGTAGTGTACTGTGCGGCTTGATGAGTGTGCGAGTCTTCTTCGAGGACGACCAACAAATCAAGGAGACTATTGAAAGAATGATTGTATGTCCGTTGGCGTGGCTCAAGTCGACACAAAATGCAGACGGTGGGTGGGGCGAGGATGTCGCATCGTACAGCGATGCCACAAAGGCTGGACGCGGTGTGAGCACGCCGACGCAGACTGCTTGGGCTCTCATGGGGCTCTTGTCACACCTGCCGCCCACGGATAGCGCCGTGATAAGAGGTGTTCAATATCTGGTCAAGACACAGACGGGCAGTCCAGTGAGCGAGGAGGTTGGCGCAGGGATTGGTGCTGGACCCGGAGCCACTTGGACGCAAAAGGAGTATGTCAGTGTGGGTTTCCCAGATATCCTGTGGTTGGACTATGCCAGTTCTCGACATGGGTACCCTATGATTGCGCTTGGGCGATGGCTACACGAGATGAAGAGAAAGTCTTGACACGAATTGCATACACGGCGTAATCAAGCTATAAAAACGGGTAAAAGTTCTATACTTTATACCCGAAATCCGCATGACTAGACTCCAAAATGACGACACCTAGAACAGAAGATTGATAAAGAGACCAAACGCCCAAATGAATATACGAGACCAGCTCTTCTCCAACTCTCCATGACAACACGCCATGACTCAACCCAGCTAAGCTGATAATTCCTGGAAACAGCAGACTCCTCTCCTGCTTCCGAAATCCCATATCTAACTCCCACTAATCTGCCCAATGGTTGGCTGCTGCGAGTTGTAGCGAATAACGTGATCGCCGTCAACAAAGACGTCCAAGTCATAACTCTCCCCTGTTTGGTCGTAGAATTTATAATTGTAGTGCTCATTGGTGACAATCTCGACGAAATAGATGTAAAATGGACTGTAGCTGGTGCCAACCTGGTAGGCAGTGATGCCAGTCTCATTGGCAAAATCTTGCGAGGTCTGATGCCACTCATTGTCCACGGGCCAGTCGACCTCGACAACAAAAGGGGGTAGGGCGATACCCGGGGAGTCGGGATCCAGTGGCTTGGGGACCAGTCCAACGGGGTATCCTACTGCGTAGGAATTGTTCTTGTCGGATGTCTCTAGGACATAGCCGTGCTCAACATTTGGCACCGTGTCGCCCATGTTAATGTTTTGGCAACGATGCTGTAGTTGATGACTTGGTCCTGATGAGTTCTGCTCAGGATGCAGATTTCACGCAGTTGATCAAGCCAGTTTCTGGGATTTACTTATACTATACCTATGAGTCCGTCTTGTTCTCATGGTTGCACAATGTTACATGCCTCTGTGACAGCTTTTCGCAGCGTACGTAGCTTCAATGATTGAGGCTTTGGGCCTGGACGCCTGTCCGCATACAGGTGACAAGACCATTGGCAAAGGGTCTGCCTGAGTTGTTCACGACAAGAAATGAACCTTTGGTCGTTGTCCAGTAGCAAAGGCCCATGGCCAAGGAAGAAATCTCAGCCATAAGCCATGATAAAAGGCAGGTGGTTTCTGCCAAAGTAACATGTTTGCCCAATGTGATTGACTGTCAAACTTTTATTCAAGCTGTTAGGCAAGTGCCGCTAGTCACCATCTTGGATGGTGGCAATGGCCAATCTTGGCCAAACTGACATGGTCTTACATTGTCAGAACTTTCCATAGTATTGGATTGACAATGTGATCAGTTATCCCAGACAAAACTCTTGACGCAGGCCCAAATAGTAGAATTTGGTCTGGGGTAAATTGTCTCTCAACCAAGGTATTAACTTTCCGCTCACGGCGCCAAGCATTACTGTCAGTCTGGCTCTGGTAAATGAATGAAACACGTCGCAGGGAACGTGCATGGAATTATTTGGGCAGTGATTACGAGAGTTGTCTGGACTCGCACCGTCTTGCAAGATTCTACCCCAAACTTCGGGGTTGACAGCACATGAAAGATTAAGCCCACAATCTCCACTGAATCCCGCTCATGACCAGTCCTGTCTCGGACGTTTTAGAGTCCCCAGCATAAGCCAAATAGCTCAGTGGCAAAGAATTGTCTCGATACTCTTGTGTGACACGCAGAATATGTATTTATAGCAGCAGCGGGTGTCGTGTCCGCACGACTTTGGGCGCCCGGTCGTGGTCACCAGCTCTCCATTGCTGCTATCCTCTGCGGCGTAGCGCTAGGTTTCAACGCTAGGCCACCGCAGGCCCCCAGTCCCCCATATTTACCGCACGCCGCACTTTGTCTCGTTCCCCAAAGGGTAGATGTGAAAAGCATATAGCTCGTAAACAAATTACTGTCTAATTCTATCCATATTATACCCCTT